ATATCTCTAATTGATAAATTTTTTTTCAAATATATAAAGATTTGATTTGATTTGATTTTTAATCTCTCTATCCCTTATTCTCTCACTCTCTCTCTCACTCTCTCTCCCTATTTTTTCTCATCGTTACTCTCTATCTTTAATTATCTCTATTTATATCAACGTTACAATAAACACAATTACACTAATCAATTACATCAATCAATTACAATTGCCCTATAATACACCAAATAATTACTCATGTGTTTTAATAAACTAAATAATTATACCAAATAATTATATCAAATTATAACACAAACTCAATTTGTCATTTAGTTGTTTATTATTATATAAATTAAAGAGTTACATCGTTTAGTATCACGACATGATTACACTAATTATAAACACTAAATTGGGTTTATCATTACATAAAAAACTTTATTATTATACCAAATTTGGTATATATAATTGGTGTAATTATGTCGTGATACTAAATGATGCAACTCTTTAATTTATGTAAACAACTGAATAATAAATTGAGTTGATGTTGTAATTTCATGTAATTATTTACTGTAACTATTTGATTTATTAGAACACATAAGTAACTGTTTTGTGTATTATATGGTAATTGTAATTAATTGTTTTAATTGATTGATGTAATTGTGTTTTTGTAGTGTTGATATAAGGAGAGAGAGAGAGAGAGAGAGAGAGAGAGAATAAGGAGAGAAAGAGTAAATGTGAGAAAATAAGGGAAAACTATGAGAGAGAAAACAAAATAGGGAAGAGATAAAGAGAGACGGATGAAAAAAATAAATCAAATATTTATATATTTGAAATAAAAAATAAATTATCAATGTGAGAAATATATAGAAATAGATAGATAGAGAGAAAATAGAGAAGAGAGAGTAATGTAATAATAAATGGCCTTTTGGTTTTTTTTCAAAAAAATTGTACTTAAGGCCAAATAAATTTTCTTAATATAATTTAATTCAATTAAATTCAAAATTTTGTACTAACTTCCAGATTTTCTAAAATTTTAAGGCACGGCAAATTGCCCATAGACAAGGGCTGGCCTTTTAGCTCTGTGGCCAACCAGGTCAAGGATCAATCAACCCGACCCATAATGGCCCATGAGTAGTCCGATAGGCCCACAAGTAGGACCAAGGGTCCTGATTTTTTACTCACAAGGCCACACATGCTAGTTTGATTAAAGCCTGCAAAGATAGCCCATGGCTAGGTCTATTGGCCCAAAAAGATTTGAATATGGAAGAATTTGGAGGCTGGTCCATGCCCAATAGAATTTCAAAAAAAATTAACTCGTGAATTTTCTTTTGAATTAAATTTATGTTAAAAAGTCAAAATAATAGATATAACTAACCTTTTTATAATTGTAAAAAATATTGACAATGTCATCACCTAATTTAAATACATATTCTAAAAAATTACTTCATCATAATGAATATTTTTCTCCATAAACACAAATTATAAGATAAGTACACTGAAAAAAATCGGTACGCAAATTAAAAACATATATACATATCATTAGACAGGTGCACTAAAACACAAATCGTTAATATATATTCTTCTCCATAAACACAAATTGTTGGATAGGTACACTAAAACGTAGATCGTTAATGTATCTTCTTCTCCATAAACACAAATTATTAGACAGGTACACTAAAATTACAGATCGTCAAACAGATACATTAAAATACAGATTATTAATGTACATTCTTCTTCATAAACATATATCATTAAACAANCATTAGACAGGTGCACTAAAACACAAATCGTTAATATATATTCTTCTCCATAAACACAAATTGTTGGATAGGTACACTAAAACGTAGATCGTTAATGTATCTTCTTCTCCATAAACACAAATTATTAGACAGGTACACTAAAATTACAGATCGTCAAACAGATACATTAAAATACAGATTATTAATGTACATTCTTCTTCATAAACATATATCGTTAAACAAGTATACTAAAATACAAATCGTCAAACGTCATCGTAATAGCCAAATAACTTGATTCACCAGTTTCATTTTTAAAATGTTTTTAATTTTTTAATTAACTAATTAATGCACAAATGCGTTATATGTTGACTATTTTCATATTAAAAATTTTAAATTAATAAAGATTGTTTTTTTTTTTGCACCACAAAAATTTAGCCTCTAACAAAACTCAAACTAAATATCAAATCCACAATTGCAAAAAGGTTCAAAGACCTTAGACCAATTTTTGATATACACATAAACATCACGAATTCCGATATACCTTATCGAATATTTGAATATTTAAGTTATTTTCTATATAACAACAACAACTAGGCTTATACGGATGGTATATAAATGCAAACACGACCATAAGTAAAACATATACACAAATAACTTCTTTCAATATGTGTTTGTACATATGACACAAACACATATTTGACTACAGAATCATCAAATACAACAACAAATAATCGTAATGATATTTTTTTTCTATCAATTCTCTTTCTTTTTGAAGTTATATTAATTCTCAACAACCAAACAACGTATAATCAAATTTCACATAATATCTGAAGCCCACAACAGTTTTATTGAGCTTTTATTTTTCTCAAATTGTTTCTAGCAAACCTACTCCAAGCAATCAAAATTAACTAAATTAATAAAAATAATCAATCACAAAATGATTGAGTTATAAATCACGTGAATGCAAAGAGAAATCCATGATTACAAAGGTAATATGAATATGTTTTTTTGTTAATGATGAATAAAAGAATGTATTTTTTACAGAAATATGTATATCCCTTATAAGAAACATAGACATTTCGACCTTACAACCATAAAAACATAGAAATAAAAAAAGTAAAATTTGATGACTACAAGAAAGAAACACATAAACCTAGGGTTTGAGCAAATACAAGAATATGAGACATATGAGTAATTAGGAATTAAGAGGCAGAAAACTATTAATATTGAACTGCTAAATTGATAACAATGAATTTTATATAACCAAAATCTGAAAAAAATAAAATAAAAATTGAACTTCGAATTAAATGAATTAGAGATGCAACATTATGAGTGACCAACGAACTTCTTTAACTTTTGATTGACATATAAAATATATGTAGCATTTAAAAAAAATACAAAAACAACTTAATACCCAGAAAATCAATAATGTAAGTCACCTGCAATAATATTAAAGTTTATCATCAAATGAAAATGATAATATGGACATTACTCAAGTTATCAAGATTATTTTAATTAAATAATTTTTTTTATTGATATTTTATAATAGTACAAATTAAAACATATCTTCCAAACAAAACTTTAACGACAAGCACATAAGGGTGGCAAAATTGCCAAACAAATGATGAAGAAGCAAGCAGCTACTGCAGGCCGACATTCGTAGTTGTGTACATAATTCTGTCCACATGTCCCTGTATTTGTATTCCCAATAATAACTTCTTTTTTTTTTTTTTCCGAGTAAGTAAATATCCTTGTCACAGCGCAAGTTCATTTGACACGTCATGGCATACGTTGCCAAAGTTTTCAAAATTGATTTCCGCCTCAGAGTAAGTTCAATAATCACAGGTTTAGGATACTGTTGATAACGTGATAGATAAAAAAAAATTAAAAATAAAAACATGACGCTTTTTGGGTAAGAAAAAAACGAAAATATAAGCACAAATATTTTTTTTATTTTTTAAATTGGTAAAAACTGAAAATAAAAAACATAAAAATTAAATAAATTACGAAATGCAACCTTAGTTTCTTTGGGTAGGGCGTATGATACTTTTGGTTCATTCATTTTTTACCGTTTAAATTGCATGTAAAATTAAGATATGTAATCGATGACCTCATTTAACTGAGACCATGGACTTTAAAAGCCTTTTTTTAAAAAAGAACAACTCAAATTTAAACACGAACAAACTTAAATTTAAAAAAAATAATAAAATATGATAATTAAATCTTTAAAAGAGAGAGTAATTTTACTATTAAATATTTAAGTTTAAAAAATAGTCTTCCTTGATTTGAATTTAAAAAACGATTTTCCTTTATTTAGAATAGGTATGGATCTAATATTGGAAAAAAAAATTTAAGAATTTTTTACCCTTTTTTTGGCTTGAATACATCCGTTTTTGGTGCATTGGGTGGGAAGGTACTTGATGTGTTTTCTTTTTTGGCTTTCTTTTATTTTTATAGCCAAAAAACCTCAAAATCAAGGCCCACAGGACGGCTGGCGTATCTGTTTTAATATATATAGTATCTATTTTTTCTAAAACATTAGTCAATTCACCAAGAAGGAAAGAAAGTTAAATAAATATATATTAAAACAATAAAAATGACCCACAAAACTGACAAAAAAGTTCATGAGCCCACTAATTTTTATTTTATTTTATGAAATTATCAATCATAATTTTAAGTGGGTCGTGTCATATTTAAGTGGATCCTCACTTATTAATAATATATGACTTACCAAAAAATAATTGAAGAAGATCTTTGTCCACTTTCCACTCTTAGATTGTTGAAAAAATTATATTTTATACCATAAAAAATTTAAGAATTTTAATTTTATAAAAAAATATATTTTTTTATATTATACTTTTAATATATTAAAAAAATTATAATGGTGANTGAAAAAATTATATTTTATACCATAAAAAATTTAAGAATTTTAATTTTATAAAAAAAAATATTTTTTTATATTATACTTTTAATATATTAAAAAAATTATAATGGTGGCCTTTCATTAGCTTTCGTTGATCATTCTATAAAAAATTACTTTATTTTTAATAAATTAAAGGGATAATATAAAAATATAATATTAAAGAATATAAAATAAAAATTCTTAAAGTAAAGTGCAACTCTTCCTAGATTGTAAATTGTAACACAAATGTTCGGTGACAAGTGGGCCCCCATGAATCCAAACCCAGTGCGAATCTGGCCCACTTGGAAACGAAAGGAAAAGACAGATTCTCCCGCTTATAAGGAAAGCCCGCTCCCCCTTACCCTCTCATCTCTCTTGGTGTTTATTGCGTTCTCACCCTCTCGGTTTTCACTCTCTGTCCTCTAGGATTCAAATTCGATTCCTCCTCTTCCTCTCTATATTCTTCTCTATAAAGGAAGAGCTTCGTGAGTTTTGATCGCCAAAGAAGAGAGCAAAAATGGCGAATGATATTACATTCTTTGAATTGAACACCGGAGCGAAGATGCCTTCGGTGGGTTTAGGCACATGGCAGTCCGAACCTGGTCTCGTCGGTCAAGCTGTTGAGGCTGCCATCAAGGTCCTCTCTCTCTCTCTCTAGATGCATAACTCCGTATCTATTTACCTAAATCTATGCTGGGCTGTGTAATTTTTAATATGTATGGGTCTGTGTGGTTTGAGTTCTTTGATTTCTTCCAACAGCATTTCTGTTTGAGGTTTTGGATATGTGTTTGTTGGTCAGGTGGATTTTCATGTTATTGCTGATCTATTTTTCTTTCTATCTTTTGGTGCTCAATTGTGATTTGTAATGGATACTTCTTGGTTATTTAGTTCGTCAGTTTGCGTCGAATTTATGGAGCTAAGTAGCCCTAACGCTGTTACGCTGCATTTTTCAGCCTGTCTGGAATTAGAATTAGTAGCGAAGTTGTTCGAATTTTTTAATTAATAGTGCTCCAATCCCGACTCCAAGACCTGGGCTACATGCGGTCAAATGAAGCCTTAGTTGTTCAATATGGTGATGATTGTTTTATGGAGGCATTTAATTGCATTACTTAATCTATGTTAGGGTTTTATTGAATTTGACGTGAACGATGAGTGTTGTTTTGCTGATCTAGAATTCTATAATCTGGCCAAAGGGATAGATACATGTTTAGCTTCGTCAATTTATACCTCCGTGCAACAAATAGCTTGTTTGACAGGCTTGATTACAATCACATCATGGAATTATACTGTATATTGTATTTATATTAAATGGCATGTGGATCTCACAATCAAATAGGTATCATTTTCATAGTATGCTGCTTTGCCGGGTGGAAGACATCATTAATGCACAAAACCTTGATTTAATCTTACCCCTTTCGTCGAGTGGATCCTTTATGTATCTTATAATCTTCTTGTTGAAAGTTGATGTATCCACTGTCTTTACACGCTGCTTGATTTCTCATAAGGATGTGCAATGAAAAGAGAAATAAAAATCAAGAGCTTGTGCAGCTCTGACCATTCTTTTAGGATGGATGTTAGGCAAGTCCATGCTGACGAATGCCATTTGTAAATTGTGGTTCACCTCAAGTGGAATAATTAGTTTTATGGGCTATACTGATTACTGAGTAAAGGATTTTGTCTCAGCTTCAGACTTACGGATAAAAATATATAAATTTTTTTTAATATTGAATTAACAGTCTACCTGGTTCCAGCAACCAGAAGAAACTCTGATTTGTCTATTTGCAAATCGTATGTGCATAGTAGAACTTAATATTACAGGGAGGTCTGAGATCTCAAAAATAGCCACTGGTAGTGGGCCCGTCCGCTAGGACTGGGGCTCGTTGCCTTCTTTGTTCCTCTAACATCCACCCCCCAATAGACATGTAAAGTATTTGCAAAAGCAGAACTTAGTATCTCATATTATTCTCAAATGGAAGGACACATCTATAATATTATTAACATGCTCAGAGGTGGAACAAAGTACTACATGGGACCACAGGGAATCTGGGATAGCCCCCTGATACTGGGCCTATCAGAACCTCTGGTATGATGTTGGTTTGAGTCTAATTACCAGCCCTCCCTCTGCTTTTGGATATATGTATGATGTTTATAAAATATCAAGAAATCAACTAGGACTTTAGGATTGCAACATGGTCATAGTCAGCAGAAAGTTGCAATAAGCCCATTTCAAGAGATGTGCTGTGCAAGGAAGCTAATTTTAATGCTTCCCTTCCCTTTTTACTTCTTTCCAGAAACCACATGGAGTTAAGTCCTTCGTTGATAGGGAATGTATTCGATTCAATTTGCACCTACATTGCAGATGAGAGAAATACTACATTAGCTTTACTGTGGCTTTGAAACCAACTTAATAAACCTTGGCTCGGCATGGTTACGTGACACTTTACAATCTGGAGTCTAGGAGAAGCAGTGATTTTCTTGTTGGCTACTTGTGATAACAACTTCAGTTCGTAATGCATTCATAGTGTAATCATCCCAAAAACATAAGCCCACTCCCTTATTCAATTTTCATTTTTCTATTGTAAATTATATGTTGTTGTTTGCATCACCATTTTAGTTATTTTTGCTAAATATAATGTAGAAAACATTTCTCGAATTTTGAGTAAGATCAAATTTAATTAGTGTAGAATATTCGGTAGCAGTAAACCAATCACTTGTGCTTCTTATTGCAGGTTGGATACCGCCATATTGATTGTGCTCAAGTTTATGGCAATGAGAAAGAGGTATTGCGAATTTACTTATTCTATTGCTATCATATAACCTAAATAATTGTCGATTCTAAATTTATAATTTGTATCTTATTGGTTTTCCGAAAATGGATGTTTTTGGAAATATCACACTGCATCTTGTGGGTCATGCTCAATACCTTAAGACATGACAAACGATTGCTTTTGTGATTCTTTTCTTCCCTCCTAAAGGGGTTGCAGTGGTATTGATGGTTTATGGTGGATTATGACAAGTCGTGAAAATAATGCCTTTTACATCACTGCTAGGTCTTAAAGTGAGAATTCATGTTCACATTTATGAACTGGTGGCATTGGGGGATGGAATTATTTGTTTGTGTCAACCTAATTTGGCAATCAAATTTCAGTCTACAAATCTGACACTGTTTTAACAAATTTAGCATATGTTATCATTAAGTAATTTGCATATAAAATGCCAAAGAATCAGACTTGTGCTATCTTATGTATCATTCGTCTAACATACTGTATCATGAAAACTGTGCATATTATGTGGTGCATTTATTGCGGGACATGTATCAATGAGACCGTGGTTAGTTTAACTCTAAACATGTTGCATCATTAGTATCATAACATGCTGATATTGATGCTTATGACCTAACCATGTCATCTACAAGGAACATGCCCCATGGAACCTCTTCATTTCTTTTTTTTGGTGATGCTCTTGCCTTATTGCTTGAATATAGTTATTATGTTTGAAATAACAATTAAAATAATCATGTCTATATGCTTTGTAGATTGGTTTAGTTTTGAAGAAGCTGTTTGAAGGTGGTGTGGTGAAGCGGGAGGATTTGTTTATTACCTCCAAACTCTGGTTTGTCTCAATCTACATTCTAGCATAAAATGTTGAAAATATGCTACAGGAATGTATACCCTTTGTTCCTAAGATGACGACACGGTTCAGCTGTATGCCTTGTTTTCAGAGTCTCTGACCTTAAACTGAAACGTCATTGGATTGTGGTTCAGCATTTAATTGGAATGATTTGCAGGTGTAAGGATCATGCACCCGAAGATGTGCCAGTGGCATTAGACAGAACTCTGCAAGAATTGCAGCTTGACTATGTTGATTTGTACCTTGTATGTATTGCCCATGAAAAGTTTCATTTCTGATTTTTTCCTTTACGCTGCAAGAATTGATCTGTGCTTCTATTTTTTGAAGATCCATTGGCCAGTCCGGATGAAAAAGGGGGCTGTTGGCTTTAGTCATGAAAACCTTATTCCAGCAGATATTCCTGGCACATGGAAAGCAATGGAAGGGCTCTATGATTCTGGGAAGGCTCGAGCTATTGGTGTTAGCAATTTTTCCACAAAGAAACTGGGAGATTTGTTGGATGTAGCACATGTTCCCCCTGCTGTCAACCAGGTTGAGTGTCATCCTTCATGGCAGCAGACCAAACTGCTGGAATTCTGTAAATCCAAGGGTGTTCACCTATCTGTGAGTTGAATTCTCATGATCCCTTCAGAGTTCTGCATCTCTTTATGAATCTGGGATGAGATTTCCCTTTCCTGTGTGTGTACAAATATTGATTAATTACTTAATTTTAGTTTGAGTTTTGATGTCTTTCTTTTACTTTTATCATAATGAGTTTATTTCTTTCAGGCATACTCACCATTGGGTTCTCCTGGTACAACATGGCTAAAGAGTGAAGTCCTTAAGCACCCAGTCTTAGTTTTGGTTGCAGAGAAACTGGGAAAGACTCCTGCACAGGTTGCTCTTCGTTGGGGTTTGCAAATGGGACATAGCGTGCTTCCTAAGAGTACACATGAAGAAAGAATCAAAGAAAACTTTAATGTCTTCGATTGGTCTATACCTGATGAATTGTTCATCAAGTTCTCTTCAATTGAGCAGGCAAGTTTTCTTATATTTGTCCTGTTTTAGTGGTGTAATCAGTCTTTCCGTTTATATTAATATTGTAGTCATAACAATGACCAGTTATAAAATGCGTAATTACTTTCAACAATAAACACCTTTACGCTTATGCTTTAGAGTAGAGTTTGATATTCAACATTATAGAGCCTACAGGCTACATGTGCAATATGAGTTCTCCGATTTATGGTCCAGAGAAATTCTTGCTCTCTGTGATGTAACTGTTAATCCATAGTAAGATTAGTTATATCATTTGTATAAGATGTTTAAGGGATGTCTGAATTTCTTTTCTTACATATTGTTTCCATTATTCTTTGCAGGCAAGACTACTCCGAGGGTCTTCATTCGTCCACGTGACTCACGGCCAATACAAGACTCTTGAGGAACTCTGGGATGGCGAAATCTGAGCAGACCGAGGACTGGTTCAATTATGCGGAAGTGTTCAAAGCTATCCTACAACAGACACTGCAATTTGGGAGCCTTATTGAACCATTTGGTTTGTTTGTGCTAGCTTGGAAATAATAACTTTTCGTCTTTACCTTTGGTATTAGGTGGCGATTGCAACAATGTGTTCCAAATTCTAGATGCTTGATAACAGATAAATGTTGATACACATGCATTGTCCTTGGGTACAATGTTTGCTTGCTACATTCCATGTTTTGATCGATGTGTCTTGGCTTTGGAAAGACCTAAATGATGTTGGAGTTTGGACCATTTATTTTTCAATTGCTAAAATTCTTTTTGATGGTGAAATCATTAGGCTATGCTAGGGCATGCTATGCTGATAGTGTTCTTTCTTCTCTTTTATTTTTTTAGTAGTGCGGTCAGGTGTTCTGACGTAATTTATGCATATCTTAATTAATTCTTTTTTGGTCCAATAAAAGTAGACGTTATACACTTGGATTAGAAAATTCATGAGAGATAAATTTTTCATAACCTAATTTCAAAGAAATTGAAAAATTTTGATCTCACGATATTTGAGTTTATAATTTGTTCCCATCTCCATTGGGTTATGGCTCGAGGTTTATAGTGAGTTTTTTACAATGCAGTTGTTATCATTGATGTTTCTTTGATTTTAGGGGAATTTGGAACTCGGTAAAAAATTTGAACTTAATTAAGCTAAATTATATTAAAGAAATTTATTTGGCCTTTTTTTTTAAAAAAAAAAAAAAGATTAAAAATGATATTTATTACTCTATTACTCTTTTCTCCCCTCCTCCCTTTCTATAAATTACTCTTTCACTCTCTCTTCCCTATTTTCTCTCAATCTATTTCTCTCATATTGATAATTTTTTTTTTCAAATATGTAAAGATTTGATTTATTTTTTTCATCTCACTCACTCTCTCTCCCTATTTTCTCTTACCTTACTTATTTTTTCTCCTTATATAAACGTTATAACAATTACACCAATTAATTACAATTACCATACAATATATTAAATAGTTACTTATGTTCTAATAAAACCAAAAAGTTACACTAAACAATTACACAAAATTCAAACACCAACCCAATTTATCATTCAATTATTTGCATAAACCAAAAAAATTATATCATTTACTATTACGACATGGTTGCACCAATTATATACACCAAATTGGGTTTATCATTACATAAAAGACTTTACCATTATACCAAATTTGGTGTATATAATTAGTGTAACTATGTCGTGATAGTAAATAGTGCAACTCTTTAGTTTATGTAAACAACTAAATGATAAATTAGATTGATGTTATAATTTTGTGTAATTATTTAGTGTAATTGTTTGGTTTACTAGAACATATGAGTAACTGTTTGGTGTATTATAGGAAAAATATAACTAATTGGTGTAATTGAGTAATATAATTGTGTTGTTGAAACATTGATATAAAAAGAGAAAAAAAAAAGGAGAGAGAGTAATAATGAGAGAATATCAAGGGGGAGAGAGAGAAAAAAATCAAATCAAATCAAATATTTATATATTTGAAAAAAAAATAAATTATTAATGAGAGATAGAGAGACAAGATAGGGGAGAGATATGAAGAGTGAAGCAGAAGAGATGTAGAGAAAATAAGGAAAGATGGTGAGACAGTAATGGAGAGAAAGATGGAGAGAAAATAGGGGAAAGAAAGATGGAGATAATAAAAATTATACATAATTTAAGAAATGATAAGTAAATAAAAAAATTCAAATGTTATTTGGATTTTGTATCTAATCACAAGATATTTTATTAAAATTGAACTTAATTAAATAAAATATTTATCTATACATTTCCTCTTAAATAAGTCTAAAAAAATGTATTCATTCCACACCCAAAAAATCCTTTATTTTATTGGTTTATTTTAAGTAATTTTATACCTACTTTGAGGAGGCCTACAAATCACACAAGGTAGCAATTTTTGACGAGAAACATAAAAAAGCTGAAAATTGATACAAAATTAACGATATAAGGTAATCATTTCTCAATAGGAACTCACAAATTACACGATATATTAATATAAATAATAAATAAATCTTGTTAGTATCAAACACAAATAACACGAATTTGATACGATTAACATGTTTAACCAATATTATAGAAATAAAATGTCAGATTTCAGTTATTTTTTCTCAAACATTGACATAATCCTTATATAAAAAGAGAATTTTTTACTTATTTTTATTATTATATTTATTAAGTTAATTTTTAATTTATAAAAAAAAATGAGTGTGAGTTTGATTTAGAGATAACATAGTATTAGACTTGAATCTAGGTGTTGAATTTTTTATCCATGAATTATGTGTCAACACTGTCCCAACATTAAAATAAACAGATCGAATTGACACTACACGATTAATTAAATAAGTTAACTTTGAGTAAAATAGTGTTTGACACGAACCCAAAAATGACACGACATAATTTCCACCCTTAATCACACATACATTTACATCTTCAAAGATTAAGGGGTCGTTTGATTCGCATTTTTATTTCGTGTTTCGTATTTTTATTTTTATTTTTTAACAAAATAAAAACAAAAACGTGTTTGAGTTTGTGTTTCTGATTTATATAAAATAAGTTGTTTTTGAAATAAGGCACAAAAACAAGGAACCAAAAAAAAAAAAAAAGTTCTCCATAACAAGCAAAATCGAAACACGTGCACGAGGGCCAGGGGAGTTAATGATATACAGCTTCGAATTTTTTTAACAGCAAAACACATCTTTTTCCGTTAGAATATAAAAACTCATCCTAGACGAATGCCATGCTCCCTCTCCATGGCAACTCTCTTTATCCATTGCTGTTCCCTCTTCGTCGCAGTTAGAAATCTCCATCTTCATTGCTGCTCTCTCTCAATCTTCTTAGTAGAAATTAAATTGTCAAGAATCTTCGATCGTTGTTTTCATCGTCATCGCTATTTTTATTGTCAAAAATCGCTAGAATCTCTCCATCGTTGCTTTTATTGCCATCGTAATTTCTGTACGTGCGAGTTATCTTGATACTCTAATTGCTTTTAAATATGTTTTTATTTTTGGTGTTTACAACAAAATAAAACAAAAATTACATTTATTTTTTTGTCTTTTAAAATCACGAAAGCAAAGGCATGATCCAAAGAACCCTAAATTGTGGCATTATAACTTTTATTATCAAATAGTAACAACCTGACCAAATTAGTATAATTTCACTTAACGAAATTTTGTCTAAACGTTTTTTAGGACAACTATGTTCCGATCGGATTGATGTTGACTGACGCTTCCAGCCCCACTGTCTGATTCTCTCTCTGGTTCTAACATGGCGAAAGACATTCCACTGTTCGAACCGATCACGGCAGCTAGTGGGACGAACCCTTTGATACGTCTCTCCTCCAGTAGTAAACGTAAACACAGTCGATGCGAATCTCGAATTCTCTCTCTAAAAGTTTCCTGCGTTTCAATGGCGGAGAAAAGCGTAAAGAAAATGGGGCAAGACATTCGATTCTTTGAGTTGAACAACGGAGCTAAGATGCCATCCCTAGGTCTCGGCACCTGGAACAACACCCAACCGGGTACCATCGGTCAAGCTCTCGAGGCCGCCATCAAGGTCTCTCTCTCTCTCTCTCTCTCTCTCTCTCTCTCTCTCAGGTCAATTTCGAATATAAGAATGATTTGCAGTCAATCAATCATATGTCCTCACTGCAGGTTGGATACCGCCATATTGATTGTGCTCAAAATTATTTCAACGAGGAGGAGGTACTGTGAATTTACACGGTTGCGATATTTTTGTAGAACTCTAAGCAAATATATATTGTTGATTTTACATTTATCGATTTGTGTTTCTTTCTCCTTTGGGAGATAGTTGATAGGACATTTTCGAAATATTCCAAGATGAAGACACGTGTCCTCGGTGTCACTAAATCGTTGTTATTGAGATCACGTACCCATCGGTTCACAAGTTCCTCTCCCCCGAGGTACTTGTCACAAGGATCAAGTGGCATCCAGTACGTCTACGTACCGACACGTATCCCTCGGTCTGATATGGGTACATCGGTCGCTATATGTACCTCCCCTCTCGGCTCCGAGATGTACCAATCCCCCTCGGTACCGAGATATACCTCTGTCCAGGATGGCGTTCTCAGCTCCTGCAGAGGCTATTGATGTACAGGTCACTAGTCTAGGCTAGGCTAGGTTAGCTATCATCACCTCGTCTTACACAATTGGTGTCAGAAGGCACAGGAAGGTAGGGGACACAGCCAATGGGGAATGGACGCGTGACATATTGTGTCACATCAGAGACAGAAAGAGCGGATGCCCTTGCTGACACACGACTTAGGAAAGCAAGTATTTAATTACACTATTCTNACGGTTCCTCTGCCGAGTGTTTCCTATGAGCTTAGGGGACTCTGCGATGAAGTGGTTTGAANACATATTGTGTCACATCAGAGACAGAAAGAGCGGATGCCCTTGCTGACACACGACTTAGGAAAGCAAGTATTTAATTACACTATTCTCTTGATGAGACTGCATTTAATGCGGTAAGGCTCGGAAGTGAAAGACAATAAATGTCTCTGAGGCTGGACATTTATTACATCTTCCCTGAGAGGAGCTCATTGAACAGTCGGCAAGCCGATGACACAGTCTTGGTTGCTCGGGATCCCGAGCNTGCTCGGAAGTCATGGCAGCGGCGTCTTTCAGGCTCGGCTTGGCAAGGGACACGGACCTGTACCGATCCCTGACCAAGAAGACTCCCTCGGATATGGGGAGCTGATANAGAGAAGACATTTCTCATAGGAAACCGTGCACACGTTGCCTGTGCCTAATGATCACCTACTGACCACACTGACAGCAATCATGAGTTTTTGAGGTATAAATACTCTTCGTAAAAGGTAAGACGGTATGCAACAAAAAACCTTTGCTACAAATTATACTCAGTGTTTTCTTCTTCCTCTCTCTCAAAAAACTGACTTGATCGTCGGAGGGGATACGCCGGAAAACACTCCGACGCCCTTCTAACTTGTCTTTCTTTGTTCCAGAAACCTTCCTCAGCCTTACTGGATCGTTCCATTGATCCACGAGGGTCTCCCATTACCGTTCCTGGTTACCACCGGATCTCACATGTTGTTCCAAGCAGCAGGGTTGACCACTCGACTGACTCACTCGAGTTCACCAAAGGAGAGACCTGTTCTCGTGTTTATATTGTGCAAGATCTAGCACGCACAATCTGGCGCCGTCTATGGGAAATGACTTGTTTTCCTAGTTTCTTCTCTATAAAGAACAGTGACCATGGTGAATACTCGATAAAAAGGGAAAGGTCCCCAGCAAAGAAGTCTCGAATTA